GCACCTGTGTTTGCGTCGGATTAACAATCATCATCACCATCATCATCCTCATCATCATCGTCATCATCATCGTCGTCATCATCATCATCATCATCACCATCACCATCACCATCACCATCATCATCACCATCATCGTCAGTACCAGCACCATCACCATCATCATCATCATCGTCATCAGCATCACCATCATCATCATCATCACCATCATCATCGTCAGCATCAGCATCGGCATCATCATCAGCATCATTATCGTTGTCATCCCTTTTCGCCAGCATCGTATCATCATCATCATCACCATCACCATCGCCATCATCGTCAGCACGAACATTATTAGCATCGTCGCCATCATCGTTAGCACCAGCACCACCACCACCACCACCATCATCATCATCATCATCGTCAGCGTCAGCGTCATCGTCATCGTCATCGTCATTGTCATCATCATCCTCATCACCACCAGCATCATCATCATCATCGTCATCGTCAGCGTCATCGTCATCGTCATCGTCATCGTCATTGTCATCATCATCCTCATCATCACCAGCATCATCATCATCATGATCTCACTGATCATCATTGTCATCGTCATCATCATCATCATCATCACCATCATCATCATCATTTTCATCTTCATTCTAATCTTTATCTTGATTTTGATCTTCATGTTCATCTTCATCATCATCACCAGGGCCGTCACCGTCAACGAGAGAGCAGTCGCCACAGATCCCGTGCCAGGGCCAGAGCTGGCACGGAAAGGGCGCCTGGGCTCCCTGGGGTCCAAAAGGATGCTCGGCTGCATCCTTCCAAGATATTTAGGGTTTTAGGGTTTAGAGGACGACGTCAAAGGCGTTCACATTTAAGTCAGCCTGACTAGCCACGACGAAGCAGACCTCGTGTGGGCCCAGGCCTTTAGGGTAAAGCAGCAGAAGCGAAGTGTCGCAAGTAAGCGAGGGCAACAAGGATGCCCTGCTGCGGCCATGAGTCCTGTCGAGTGAGGTGGCTGGTACATGTGGCCTGGCCAGAAGGGTGGCTGGTATTGAGTGCATCTGAGCCGATGCACAAGCTTTAAACGGAGTTGAATCCGGAGGTGCAGAGCGGATTTCTCTCTGCACACTTCGCTGCCACTGTACAGAACTTGCAATTTCAACTCCGTATGCAAAGTGGCCCCCTGACGCATGGCTTGTGGCTAGCAGTGTGAAGTCTCTTCCTTCGGTTTGACTCACTGCTGACAGTTCGTTTTCTGTGGTGTGAAGGGGACATCCGGTGATATGTCAAGAGTACCCAGCGGTCGGATGCTGCAGCCGACAACGTCTGCTTATCGGGCGGTCATTTTTCCTGTTCCAGATCTCGTGTGGTGCAAAAGCTAGACCCTGGCAAAGATTGCCGATGGACTAGTTTGAACAATCACAGCTCAGACTACGGAGGCAGGATGGTCTCGGGTGCAGCCTGTATTTAAAAGACATGCTGGAAAAGCCATGATCTGTTTGTGGCCATGCAGTCAGCCAGGCTTTGACAGGGTCTCGACTCTTGACGGCTGCTGCGCTGAGTGCAGAGAAGCCTCAACGAAGAGAAACAACTCAAGGGAGAGATTCACCGCGGTGCAGAAATCACAACGCTTGCCTTCTTCAGTTCCTGCCAGGACGAATGAGCAGCTGAACAGCCGCCTTCATTGAACATTTTTATGTTCTGCATGGCTCCGCAGCTGCCTTTCGGCGTGGCCGTTTGCCCCGGCGCCATGGCCTCGCACAAGGCCGGGATCTGGTCCGAACCGTTTTTCCAGCTCCCAGCGATCTGCTTCTGAAACTCCAGGTCGTTTACAAGTCCACGGGCTCCTTGGCAGGACGAATTGAAGAACCGACCTAGGAGCCCCTTCAACGCGCCGTGCACCTGCAGAAAAGGCAGAGACACCAACGCGAGCTGCACCTCCCAAGCGCTGCATCTTTAGACCCTGACACCTGGAAGCCCAAAGACCATCAATACTCGTGGATTCCTAAGAGCGGCCCAAGACCAACATCCAAACCTGCAGGACCTGCACACTGAAGCCCGAAGCATACAAATTCCTGTAGCCTGCCCAAGCCCGACAAAAGTAAAGGCCGTAAATTCAGACCCAGGCTGCCTACCTGGCCCCTCGGCGGTCAAGAGCGTGCCCACCGACGACCTCGCAGCTTTCTCTGAAGAGCGAGCTTGGAGGGCCCAAGGGTTTGCGGAGCTTCTGCCAGACCTCCGGGGTTTCAACTCCCACTCTCGAATAGAAGAGCTTTGTCCCAGCTCTGGCACTGTGCTTTGCCTAAGAGGTTCTTCCCGCATAGGGCCAGGCCCCACCCGTCGACGTTGCATCTGAGGTCAGGCTGACATATCGCACCGCTTATGCAACAGGCTGGGCGGCCAAGTGATCCATCTCCGATGCTTCTTTCCTCCGTTTCATGTGTCACGCCTACCTACCTGCATGCCTGCCTACCTAGGTGCAGACATGCAGATTACGTAAAACAGACTCTATCGCGTATACATCCACTTACACATGCTATGCATATGCATATACATACACATACACATGCACATACGCATATACACACACACACATAGATACGTAACATCCATCCATCCATCCATCCATCCATCCATCCATCCATCCATGCATGCATGCATGCATGCATGCATGCATGCATGCATGCATGCATGCATGCAGTCTTGTGTACATACACACGCAGGCATACACATGCTTCATACATGTGTATGTGAATATGTATGCATGCATACATACACTTATGTACGCAAATGCTTACATAAACACATACACATATACGTGATGCACGTGCGCATGCCATGCTTGCATACTTGTCTGGTTTTGCAGTAGGCATACAGAGACAGTGTATGTGAGGGCACCGCACTGGGTGACACCTGCTTGCAGGAGTTGCTGGTCGCATCCCTTGCACAGAAGACCGAGGGGAGAATTTTGCTGGCATCCACAACATCGGCCGGAAGGAGCTTCTCAGCTTCTGCTTCACCTGTCAGCCCTCTCCCTCCCTGTCTTTTTCGCTTTCCGCCTCTGCCGCTACCGTCTGCATCTCTCTTCTTGTGCCCTTTCTTTGCATATCTGTTCCTTTATCTCTTCGTCCCCTTCATCTGGAACAGCCTCCTGCGCATGCCCTCATGATCCCGTGGTAGCGGGCTTTCCCCAGAGCTATTGTCAGTGCAACAGAGCTGTGCCCCGCAGGAATCTCAATACATGAAGTTCCAGAAAAGCACTGTCCGGTGCTCACAAGGGGACACTTCGGGGGCTTGCCGAGACAGTCCCATCCCATTGAAGCTTCAAGGCCCCGCTGCTCGACTACAGCGCTGTCAACAGCAGACGGGACTTCACGCCGCATCCGCTGGGCGACAACAAGGCCCAGACGCTTCTCAAACCCTGAAACTTCACCCTAAGGGCCCTGTCCCCGGCAGCCCGCACCCTAAACCGCCTTTGTTTTCGCTTGCGAAACCCCTCAGTAGATGCCGGACTTGTAGCCGAAGGTCAACGCCATGCTGGCGGCCAGCTTCAAGGCCCCTCGGACTTGTGGTTCATTTTAGGAACACTACCCTTTCTTGTGCTGCAAAAAAATCATCAGACTTCAGTGCAGCTCTAGGGTTTTAGGGTTTCGGGTTTCGGGTTTCGGGTTTAGGGGTTTCAGG